TCCGCTGCGTCGCATCGGTGATGGGTGTCTGAAATGCATGTTGGAATGGCATTTTGGTGCTCGCGAACAAAAGAGCTCACCAGGGAGGACTGTGCTACAGTGTCTGATACGTTGGGTTCCCCGAGACACCTCGCTCACCACGGCTGCAGGACGGTGGGTGGGAAGTAACTATTCGAAGGCGTCAAATGGGATCGGGCCATCAAATCAGCGTGTTAATACGCTGTAAAGTTTGCAAAAATTCTGCAGAATTGGAAGGTCTGGCGAGGATCGTTTTTTTCTAGCACGTCGGCACGAAGTCCGCGCCAAAGATGACGTACACAGTCTTCTTACTTCATGCTTGCATTCACACGGGCGCAAAGCTGTAGCAAATCAAAATAATACTCTTCCGGGCTCTCAGACGGCAGATACACTCGATTGTCTAGTCTTGGGCGTGCTATCTCAGTTGCGTGGCGGCCAGTGAAGCAAGATTTAAGTAATGCGGCCCACTCTTCCCATTTTTTTTTTTGGAGCACCAGTCAAGATTTTCGTGGTATACCACTCTTTTGCGCTGCCTTCCAAAGTCAAATAAAGGAATTTAACCTTGGTATCATCGTCCCAGGCGTTGAGAGAAGATACGTGCTTGTAGCACGTCACCCACTCTGATGCGGATTCCTCCGGCGTCCCTTTGAAGATCGGGGGTCCCGTGAAGGGCCTCGAGGTTGGAGCGGTCGAAAAGTGAGCCATTCTACCCAGGTCGTTCACGCCGTTCTGGCTCCTCAGGGTGGGCATCAGCGTACGGGGGCTTTCGCTAGTGCGCAGCCTCCGCCAATTTGTAGCGTAGTGTTCTCGTGGCTACTTGGTCGCTGCCGCAGAGAGGATCGTCACGTACACACAACAGCTTTCTCCTGAACTGATTTATTTGGTTAAAACACTACCGATTGACGTTGTACACACTTGTACTCTACATGACTGGGATAACTCTACACAGCACACGCTGCCACCTGCAGCGTCCGCTGTGCAACTCTCTTTTCGGCTCTCCTAGCAACATCCCAAGAGCCCGCCTGGAGACTAAACCGAAGGAACCACTCAAACGTGTCCGCTGACGATTCAAAATGGGTGGAACAAATTTCAACAGGTACATCCAAGCTCGGTGGCCTCCACCAGCCTCGAGGACTGCTGCCAACCTAAAGAATAATGACCTAAAGTAAACACACACAGGAAACTGTCGCGGCATGCGTTTAGGCTTTCACAGTGCAACTCCCCCGCTGACTATACGGCGCCGCGAACAGCCGTTGGCGACCCTTTACCTGAGAAACAACCCCCCTACGAAGAAGCTTCCTCGTAGGAAGCTTCCTACGTGCGGGACTCGCTCACTGGATTCCGTGCCGACTGGTTGTTCCCTCGCGACGACAGCGCAGCTCTGACCGACTGGGCTGGTCCTACGCCACCTCCTGCAGCCGGTCCCCTACGATGACGTCAGCGCAGCTCTGGCTGACTGTCGCCGACAAGAGCTCTCGCAAGTGGTGCCCCGTCCTCGGACTCCTGTGACCGTGTTTCCATCCTTCCCATCTCTCCTATCCCCTCATATGTCCTCGCTCGCTGTCCCAGCGCACATTTCTCTCTCCCTCTCTCTTTACCTTATACCTATCCTTTTAATTCCTCCTCACCACCATCCCTCATGAGCTACTGTTGAGGTGTCACACTCAGATGCAGACAGTTACGGGGCTCACTTTTCTCTTATTTTCCTTCTTATAACCTCAATCTCTTCCTAAGAGCACAACAAAGACGGTGCGATCACCGCAATCCTACTCTTCGGCGACCCCGTGACATTGGAACGAGCCAAAAGTTTAAAAAAAATTGCTACATCAACGTTTACGCGACATTAATATTATTATTATTATTATTATTATTATTATTGGATGGTATACGAGTAAATACGCCATAGGCTTAATTCAAGCACGCTTATGAACATTCTGATTCAACATGCGAATTCAAATGCAAAAATGAATATGGAATTTCAAAAGATTATTCATCAAAACTTTTCATGCCTAGGGGCAGACTGTTGAAATAAAAAAATAAACGCTTTAATGCGCGAATATTTAATCTTGATTAAAATCTTGCATATACGTAAGTTCATGGTGCTCCTGCAGTGTCGCGAGCTTTATCATGTAGGTGCTGTTGCACGTACTTTTACGCAAGGCAGCTGCTGAACACAGGAATCCAGGTTGTGGGATTGGGAGATGAGAGTACGCACGATGTGCACATCCTCCGGCTGCGTAAGCCTCTCTATGTTTTGCCGCGGGCAAAACTGACAGGAACCCTGGCCACTGTCCTTTTTTCGCGAGTGCCGCATTTCACTTGTTCATTTGCTTTGCAAGAGCGAGCTGTAGTGTAGACCACTTTCAATCGACCATGACAATAACTAGAGAAGGATCGAGGAGGGAGAGAGGCCGAGAACAGGGAATAATAACTAAGAGGACGACGAGTGCCATCAAGACCACCACCTTTAAATATAAGTGGCCACAAGTAATCACCCATCGTATGTGGACGGCGAATGTGTTAGCACATGTACCACATTCACTCGAATATAACCCAAATTTTTTTTCCAGATTTTTTCTACTCAATGTCGACCCTCGCGCTACAATCGAATATCAAAACTCATTTTTTTCTTCCTGGAATCAATGAAAAGTCACCCCTCGCGTTAAGATCATGGTCACGCTAAAATCAAGTTAATAGGGAGTTAATAGGGAGAGAATAGCGCACCGCGAGCCCTTGTTGTGCGGTCGCTGCTCCTGTGCATGCGTCGTAACGCGAGTCGGCGTTCATGGACCGCACGCAGAAAATCCGAAATTGCTTGCGGCGATCCCGGCCGGCATGTGGCTCGCAAGCGCCGGTTTCGAGGCTACGGTGTCACTGTAAGCGTTCGTTGCGGTTTGCAGCAACGCAAACGCTATTCTAAAACTCATATGGCACCCGCTACGCCCCCTAGGCCCGCAACGCCCGCAGCACTTGCAAACGGTATTACAAAACTCCCTAATAACATAACGGCCACGGAAGCCATTTTTAATAGGTCTTTATGTCTATTTCGTTGAGTTACTTATGCCTACTACAATCCTATTTACTATAATTACCTACCATCTAACTGGTCCGTTTCTCAATTTACTCCAATTGTATCATTTTAAAAATGCAACTTCTGTCCATGTAAAAGTAAAGAGAGAAAAAAAATCATGATCAGTTGTGTGGCAAAGTTACTGCTCTACAGCATGCACAAAAAGAAGCCATTTAAATTGTTTTGAAAAGCAGTTTGGTAAGACACAAGTAAACGATGTGAAAAGGAAACACTTGCACGCGTGGTGACTCGAAAGTTCATGTACACTCAGGCTGGCCGTGAAACCTCTGTATTTTCGTACGGTGGCGGCATTCGCTCGGAGGATTTCAAGCTGGACGGTTGTGCCCTCGCGATCTCCGACTTCAGCGTAGCTCCCGCCGACTGGTTCGCCCTCCGCGGTCTCCTGATGCCGTGCAGCTCTCGCATTGTGGCACCCCGCCCTTGGACTGCTTCGACCGGATCCCCACTTTCCTATCTCCTTCTTTTTTCCTCTCGTTGGCTGGCGGCTTCTTATCCGTCTTTTTTCCTTCTATTCTTTTTATCCCTCCTTCCTTCTCCCTATATCTTTTATTCGCCATATCCCATTCCTCTGCTGACCTGTTGAGGTGTCCTCGTAAGGAGAGACAGTTACGGGTCGGCACCTTTCTTTTCTTTTCTTCTGATATAACCACAATCTCTCTCGTACGGTGGCCGCTACGACCTATACTTGATAGTTTATAGGCCAAAAAAAAAAAGGACTCTCTATAAACTTTCTTCTAAACGAATGAGCGAGAGAACATGGGAAGTTTCAGAAACTATGACAATGATGTGTGATTCTTTACAAAACAAAAGAGAGGAAAGGGCGGGGGTGGGGGGTGACAGAACTTTGCACTCCGCCAACTTTTTGACTCGGTCGAAAACTAGACAGCGACCTACAAATGCATAATGCGTAGCCTTTTCTACACTCATCCATCAAAGTTGTCACGTTTCTTTCCTTCGAATATCTCTCCTAAAGTAAGCGATCTTGCCTGCTTTCTGGCGTGCTTGCATATGCGCTCAACATAGCATATCGAGTGTTCTGATGGTGACGATCACTTGTAATGCTGTAAGAAAAGTGGGTCCACAAGTCATATAAAAGAAAGTTGCAGCCCAAGCCACTCATTCGGAAACAATCGTGCTCTTGCTCATGTATTCATATCTAAAACGTTTGGCACGAACTTTTTCCTGTACCCTTCTCTCATGCCAGCCGGCACATCTCGAAGTCAGCCTTCGCACTACTCCCCCGCCCCTCCTCGCAAAACATTAACCCCACGTGATAACGTACCTGCCTGTCATGTTAGCATACCTCCGAGGTGACAATTGATCGCTTCCGGTCTATCAAATCGCTGTCTTGTGCTGTTCGGCCCCATGGTTCCTAACAGATACTTATATTTCATTTGCACAAGAGGGATGTATGCTTGGAGAGAATCGACGACAACTGAGTGCCATTTCCGATCAACAGAAACAGTCATTTGTATACTGCGCACTGCCTCCAGAGTTTACGACGTACGCGACAAGTCCAAGTGCGCTGTTCAAATGTCCGGAGCCATGCATACACTACGCCGTTCGCTTGTTCGATATATGACTCGCAAACCACAACTACAAGCTTGGTGATCTAGAAGCTACGGTTTGCCTACCATGGGAGGACCGAATTTTTTATCTCTTTCTCGATTTCATAGCTATAGGCTCAAGGATTGACACGTGACGTTTGCTCTTTTTTTTGTTTTCATTCATCCATGTGATTGGTTCGCGTACGTATATAGGCATAACACCCGAATATGACCCTATGGTAGCTACAAAGAAAGAATGAAAGACACATCACAAGTACTGCCGACTACATGCCAAAATAAATCCTGTTGACAGTACGAATCGACGGAGAAAAATATATACGAACCACTATGAGCGAAGGCAGCTCCTTCCAGAACTGCAGGTGAGGTATCATCTCCACACCTTGAGCGCCGTTGTTGCGGTTGACTAGGACGCCTCCCACGAAGTATATCAGCAGCGCCACGAAGAACCTGGCAGGGAACCGACCGACACACTATAGTACATCTGCACTGCCGTCACACCTCTTCTTACGTGTGCTATAGGACACAGGCTAACGTCCTAGCCTCTTCAATTAAAGCTGTCTTGCACAAGCCGACTCTGCACTCGCTTGCAACCTAAGAATATATACCAGCTCCACCCACAGCGATCGCTTGCCCTCCAACAGTAATTATACCGAAATGCTTCCACTGAATAGTGCTTACTCGTTTTCGTGACACCAATTACTTTATTCGCACTATATCAGGTGCACCCATTTTATTTGAATTTGAAATATGAAGTTGGTCGGTCAACTTATAATCGAAACGGAAACTAGTTTTGGTTGTAGGGCTGACTACCAAGTGAAACAAAAGAGATATGAAACACGCTGTGGCGTGGTCGAGACATTGTGTTTACGATACAGCTTAACATGCGATATACACCGTAATTTCTCGTGTATAACCTGCACAAACAGCTACCATTTGCGGCAATTTTTTTTAAGTATGATCTCCGAGTATTACGGTGAAGCTAGGTTTTCTCATAACATTTAAGCACTGCCAAGAAGCCACCTTTGCACACCAGATCTCAAGCTTTTTTTTTAAGTGACGTGATAAATAAGTTTACTACATAATGTGCACTCGCGCTCCTTTTTTAAGGGGGCGGACCAAATTCGAGTCGACTTACAATCATGTAAATACGGTACTTTTCGCGATAATCCCTCAGTTGAAAGTCCGATTCCTGCGAGGAGTCGCCCATGGTGTAAATGTTTTCTAGCCGCCCTGTGCGCTTAGAAAACGTTGTCAATGATTTACAGTGCTTTGTACTTTCCTACGGGAGAGCAGTAAGCTTTCCTAGAGACCACAAAAGTTATGAGTGTTTAGAAGAAATTTATTTCATCGTGGTACGTAACAAAGAATAAGAAACGGTGTCCATACATTAAGGACAGCAATGAACACACAAAAACAACTAAGCACAATGCACATGAAACGTCAATACAAAATGTCCCATTCCGTGGGATGTCCGTAACACGTTTTACTATAGACTAAAACACACACACACACACACACACACATACACACACACACACACACACACACACACACACACACACACACACACACACACGCAAACGCACACGCACACGCACACACACACACACTTATCACACAACACATAATTTATTGACAAACGGTATACGCAAAAAAACATAACTTCACGAGCATATGTGTTTAGAAAAAGTGCTTAACGACTTATAAATGAGATCTAACAGACAATCATGGCAAGGAAAGTGTAAGGGGTAGTATTAAGAGTAACTGTAATGTAAATGTGGAAAATGAAAAGTTTACGAAAAGAAAACTTGCCGTGGGCAAGGACCAAACCTGCCACCTTCGAATAAAGCTTCCGATGCTCTACCCACTGGTTTACCACGGCGGCTATCCCCCCATCCACTTTCTGGGGTATGTACGGGCATTAAACGTGGGATCATCAGTCCGCGCCGCCAGTAGCCATGACGGCGATTCGTTCGTCTGTCCGTCCATCCGGCTGTACGTTCACCTAGTGAACACTCCAAGTACCACCTTATCGCATCTTTTCATCATATACTCAAGATATAGAAGTACCGCCACCCAGCGGACATTCCAAGGTCTAAAACGAGAGGTAGCGTCAAGGGCTGAAAGGGTTCCGGGAAAGCAACTGCAGATAGTGTGTTTGGAAAGAGTGTTTAACGATTTAGAGTAGTCGGTACTTTACTATGGGAGAGCTGAAGGCCGTCCCTTGGGCGTCACCACCTTTATTCCCGAATATGCACTGACATGTAACAGCTGGTTAACTTGTCATCTACGTAAATCTCGATGTAATGACTCAATTCCGACAGCATCGTTTGACTTTATTTGGCATACGGAAACATAATTGTGTCGCTAGTTTTAGGCCAAAAACTTGAACGGCATGGTAAATTTGGTCAGAAACTATTACATCGCTTCTCAGCCCCTCCGTTATATTTTACTTAGCCACGACGAACTTTCAAAGCAACACTGAAGATAGAGAGAGAGGAAAAATACTTTTTCGCATAGTAGTAAATTACAATTTCACTACGCCGAAAATGCCACCCTTATCGCGAGGAGACGTTTCGTAAGTGAAATCAGCGTAACCAAGGGGATTTCGGAGGGGGCGCCATTCTTCAAAGCGAAATATTTCAATTCCTCCCACTCGCGTTCGTCTGTCCGTGACCAGGAACGGTGCCAGCTGCGGACTTTCCCACTCGCACTCTCTCACCAATAACGTGGTGAAGAGCGGTGCATAGCAGCAGTTGCACCGCAACAACTGTGATCTCTCCCCCTTACGCTCTCTCAAAAACCACGTGATTGCGGAGAGAGTGTTTAAAGAAAAGAAGTCATGGCACATTGAATCGAACGGCCACAGACTTTTGAAGAATACGCTTTGGAATTCACAAAATGTATTTCGATTTTTTTTTCAATTTCGCACGTGTGTAGATGCACGAACATGTGAGGCACCTGTACTGCGCGATGTGAGTGTATACGAGAAGGAACACGACATGACCGAAATTTCTAGAGCCCCCCTCTACGGCGTCGCTCATAATCATGTTGTTGTTATGGACTCTTATAGTTCTAGTTATCATTCTTATTGATCCCCTCACCATATACAAAAAATCTGGCTGCTTCCTTGGTGAACGAGAAAGTGCACGAGAAGAAAGTGCAGACAGCGACTCCACTTTGAAGTTCCCGCATCAAACACTGCGATGTCCTAAATCTTGATGGCGTCTACTAGATAAAACCTGGGTTTTAATCGGTAAAAAAAGTAATTTGTCGTATGAAAGAGCCCTATAGCTATAAGCTTAGCATACCAAATTGCCGGAAATATCACTCACGCAATGTCGCGAAAATGCGGAAGATATATTTTGCAAATGTTTAACGCCATATGCGAGGTGATTTCGGAGCGAAAACGTATATGCCGATGAAATTAAAGATATATAGAATTCTCAGTGCGAAATTGACCAACCTAATTAGATTCATCGTATCACCTTAGTATGCGTAACATTTGCGAGGAAAAGTATTCCCGAGGAAAAAAAAAGTATTAACCGAGGAAAAGTATTATTATCCCGAGGAAAAATATTATCCGAGGAAAAGTATTCGTAGGTTCGAGCAGAAACGAGCAAGTGCGACTGTATCTAACAAGTAAGGGCCGTTACGCCGCGATTCTGCAGACGGAGCTCACATAAATTTCCCAGTTTGCAACCGACTATAGCCTGCTAACCGACTATAGACTGGATTGCCAGAGAAGGCAAGCGGGTTAGGGGGAGACAGAAGGTTAGGTGGGCAGATGAGATTAAGAAATTTGCGGGTATAAATTGGCAGCAGCAAGCACAGGACCGAGTTGACTGGCGTAACATGGGAGAGGCCTTTGTCCTACAGTGGACGTAGTCAGGCTAATGATGATGATGATGATGATGATGATGATGATGATGATGACAGCATGCGAGTCGACAACTGCAGCTCTGACATCAGCGTGACGTTACGAATATTTAAGTTAAAGAGACGGGGCTCGAAACACGAACACAAAAGGGGTCAGGATACCAAAGACGCCCCCTTACAACATTCGCGGTGCCTTTAATTCACTGTTGCGTCCGTGCTTGCAGGGTCTGTCTATTTAGCATAACAGCCTGCCACATACCACAGCTCCTTGTTATTCTATGTATCCCAAAGCCTTCGTGCGCATAAGAGCACCGCGTTCGTGAGCATACAAGTTGTCACACGCATTTAGTACAGTAACTGCTAGAATTCAATGTAATCCTTCTTGATCTAGCAATGACATTGTTTCAGGGGCAGACGCTGCAAATCTTGAGAGCCTTGATAATGCTCAGCTGAATCTCTCACCCGGAAACGTGAGAGTGTTGCCGTCACCGCTGATTAGCTCCTCCGCCTTTTCTCCCGAAACATGGCAAAGTTGACGTTTTCCGCGTACCCATCACGAGTGCCCATGGTAAATTTCGATATGAAACTGGAAGGTGCCGTATTGAGAGGGCATTACAGGTGTAATTTTTTGAATAATTTCATCATTGAGCAACTAAAAAGAAATCAACAGTACGCGGACTGCGCACGTTCTCCCTGCACATACCGCGAACGATGGAGGACGCGCGAACACGAGCACAGGAGAAAAGAACAAGACGGAAAGTCTGTAGATCTCCTTGATATACCGCAACGTGAAGAATGCCGCAATCACAGAGTCCAGCGATCCAAAGGGATTATTGGGTTGGAATTTCTGTAGTTCACTGGTTTCCACCCTCAGCTTTTACTCTGAGGTTATGTAGTATATGCTGTATGAGCCTTATAAGTTGTACATGCAATGTGATCATTTTTAACTATAAGCAAAAGTAGTCACAATGCCTGTACAACTTACAAGGCTCGTAGGCAAGAAGGGTAAATCTAAGAGCCCCTTTTCTTTGTTAGACACAATATTAATGAGAACTGATTGACAGTTATGCAAAGGAAAGTATAGGGGACGTTATTAGAAGTAATTGTAAAGTAATTGTGAAGAAAGAAAAGTAAACTAAACGATAACTTGCCATGAGCAGGTACCGAACCTGCAACCTTCCAATAACACGTCTGATGCTCTACGAATTGAGCTACCACGGCGGCTACCCCCCACCCACTTTAGTGGGTATATATGTGTGTTTAAACGTGGTAGTGTCAGTCAGCGCCACCTGTTGCCATTGAGGCGGGCGTAAGACGCTCACTTTTTGCCTGTAGGCGTCACGTAGCACGTGATCTTATTATACTCGGCGACAACTTTTCTTGGCACTGATAGAGAGTGCCACCGGGGGCACCGATTCGTAGTTTGCCTGCCCGTATTATCGGATCTTACCGCTTCTTCAAGCACCCGGCTTCAAAACAGAGGGGAAAACGCATAATGTTTGCAGCAAAAGCGCAGAAAACGCGGAGTTTCTAGCGAACAACACAACCCGTTATCCTATGAGTGACGTCATCACGTAGGTGGCGCCACGGTATGTCCTCGAGGCCATAAACAGCTGACCAATAATCCCTCGCATACCACCCTCAAGGCATTAGGTCTATCATAATGAGACCCATATCGCTATGAAAGTAGGAAAAGAAAGTTTAATCGAAGAGCTTCGTGCAGCACACATACTGTGATTACGATGGCGGTTGGTAGATACATTGTGTTGGCGGCCGCACATGCTACGCGGTTATTACGATCAATACACCTTAGCAACTTTGCTGTTTCGTTTCTATGTTTGTACGAAAATGCAAGGAGTGAGAGCGAAAAAAAGCTGAGAACACGAGCCCAGCGGACTCACAGTATGAGGAGCACGGATCCAGTACTGAGTCCTCCTGATGAAGTTACCGGTGAACTGGAGCCACATGCCCCGTCGTACTTCACGGTCACATTACGCTGCATACAAAAGAGACTAATGTGAGGCCCACGATTACGTGAAACGAAGAATGCGCGCATAGCTTCAATGCCCCGGTAGATATGGCACGCCTCAGCAGGTGTTAGATTATTACAGCGCAAATAACGTTGTACCAAGAAGTCTAAATATCTAAAACACATTAAACACTTTCTGCTACTGCATTTTGCTCTTATTTTTGCCGCCGCTGCTGCTGATGCTACCACTATCGTATAGATCAGAATGAGGGGGGCCCAGGAAGGCGACCTACGGGATGGGGGGGGGGGGGGGGAGGTTGCACAGTCTGCGCTATACATTGACTTAATCGGGCGGATTCGCTCGCAGGATTTCAAGCTGGACGGTTGTGCCCTCGCGATCTCCGACTTCAGCGTAGCTCCCGCCGACTGGTTCGCCCTCCGCGGTCTCCTGACGCCGTGTAGCTCTCGCATTGTGGCACCCCGCCCTTGGACTGCTTCGACCGGATCCCCACTTTCCTATCTCCTTCTTTTTTCCTCTCGTTGGCTGTCTTCTTCTGCTTCTACTTTCCTTCCATTCTTTTATCCCTCCTTCCCCCCACCCCTATAAGGCACTGCGCCGTGTCGCCTGAAGGCAGACAGAAATTAGGTGCCTTTTTCCTCTTCATTCTAATCACTACCACCACCACCACTTAATCGGGCGGAGGGTCGGCACTGTGACCAACTCCTTCCCTGCAGGGGAACCCTACATACGCTGATCACTACTACTACTACTACTACTACTACTACTACTACTACTACTACTACTACTACTACTACTACTACTACTACTACTACTACTACTACTTCTACTACTACTACTACTACTACTACTAGTACTAGTAGTAGTTCGGCTACTACTACTACTGCTCAGCAGGTTTGCACAAATATTATTTGTTATTATGCCTTCATTAAGCGAGAAGAGCACCTTTAGGTAATGTTCATTATTTCTTGACAGTCGCGTCACTTTTCTTGGCATTGAAGGGAAAGCTACGGAGGCGGAGCTTCTGCACATGTGCGCGAAGTAGCCCGTCTTGGCGCGCGTCTCGTAATGCTATGGAAAGTGACGGGGGTGCACCATCAGCGTTTCATGTAGACGCAGACGCCGCTTACCGTCTAAGGTGACGTAAAAAGGGCGGGACTTTCTCGCGCGTTCAAAAACGCGAAGTCAGAACCAATAAATTAAAGTAGATACGACTATCTTAATGGTGGGAGCTGCGTCCTGTCTCAAATAGCCCTCGGTATAAAATAAAGGGTAAATTTTTATATTTTACGGTGAATATACGGGCGCTGTTGTGGAACTACATTCACTGGTGGTATAGGATGCCCACGATTTGGCTCTGTAGCTTCCGCTCCAATGCCAAGAAAAGTTGTCGCCAAGTATAGTATACTGAAGTACGTAAGGTGCTTTTGTGCCATGGGCAGTCTGTATACAGCTACCATTACGCGATAACAACCATGCGCGAGGCGTTTTAAAATGCGATATAAACTGTTGAAATTTTGAGATATAGACGGCTTGCTATTCTCTTAAAGAAAATTTTTTTCTTGTAAAAAAGACTATCGGTCGCCGCGCAATGATAAATTGGTAGGTAAAAAAAAGGCTTTTTTTAGGTAGCAGATTTTTTTCGTTTTAGGTACACAAAGAAGAAATTTAATTCTAACAGTGGTTGAACACTCTCTGAATTCTTTTCACCAGTTCTGAATGAGCGAAACTGACCGTACAGCACTGGCGCCACATAGGAGCTTTTGGTGACAGTTTCTCTCCGCGTGACGTAGAACCTCGCTTGTCCAATGACGTACTACACGCACACCTTTGCTGAACCAGCCAATTAGCGTGCATTGAACGGGATATCCCCGAAAGTGCGTATGGTGGCAGTAGAACACGGCCCTTGATGAACGGGCGAATGCTTCTACAAATTGATTGATATAGTATGAGGTTCAACGTCCCAAAAGCACTGCATGAATATGAGAGACGCCGTAGTGGAGGGTTCCGTAAATTTTCGACTACCTCGAGTTCTTTAGCGTGCACCCAAATCTTAGCACATCGGCCTACAACATTTCCGCCTCCATCGGAAATAAAGCTTTTACAGAGCCTATCATTATAGTACTCTCTTAACGCGAACACATTCGCATTGTATTCGAACACGCCACAGCACAACAGACTATAGCCTCAACTCATTGAAACACTATCGCTGTCGGCCACAAGTTCTAATCCGGACAATGCCATTTCGTGAAATCCACATAATAGAATTCATCCCGTGAATTGCTAATCTTGGAACTTAGCTGTGCGCTCTCTCCGAACGACGGCCAGGTGCAGGAGAGCCACCGGCCCCATCCATCCACGGCTACGCGTCCTGACGAGAGCAACGTATACGTAGGTTTTAGCACCCCCCTCCTCCTCCAAAAATTTTGGCGTAGGGTTGTTTTAGCGAAGGTAAAATCCTGAAAATCGGTGTTGTTCTTAATTAGCTAAGGCCTTCATGAGTGGCCCCCTCTTTAAAAAAGAATCTGGCTACGGGTCTGGGTTTAGTTATTACAAATATATTCTTCTGTAGATAATGACAAGAGTCCATACAGCTCCCACCTCTTGAATGCACTGTAAGGACGTATCCGGCACCACCCGGCGTCGCGAGAATTCAACGAAAGTAACTGGTCGCGAATGTTTTGTGTACCCCCATGAAGTACCTCACACGCATCTCGCTCGTCAATGCTGTCGTACGGAAGCTTGGTGACCAGGGACCCAGGTCCAATGGGAATGTGCTTGTCCCGGTCACAGATGAATATCACGTTCGTCCTCAGTGTCCTTGATGGCTCGCTACATTTAAGCAGGTTGTTCCCGGGCTGTTGAAACTCCACCACGAAGCTGTTTTGACCTGTAAGGTGATGGAGATACGTTTCGTGATAAGATATAAGGCACTGCCATAAGCCTGAGAACCAGCCGCTAAAAACCATCACTGAGCACCAGACAAGTGTTGCTTTTTTAACGTTTGTTGTGACGCTTACGCATGAAATAACAGTAAAGCTGTTCAAGGTAGTCGTAATTTGTGCGGCCTATCCTGTGCGGCCTATCAATAATGTGCCACAGCAATTGGGTAAATCCCTCAACTAATCACTGGTCCACTGAAAAGAAAAACAGCAACAGCTAGCCCATCATTGATTTTCAACGCTTTCCTACAGCAAGTGATTTAGTTTCCTAAGCAAGGCATCGTCCGA